CCCCTTTCTGGCTACGCTCAGTATAATGAAAGTGGACTACTTCAGCATACTTGCCTTGTCTAGGTATAGCAGGTGCCATCCCACCCTTCTATATTAGTAATTTTAATTGACTGAGGACTGAAGGATATCTAGTAGTTTCTGCTGCCTTTTATCACCTGTTTGACAATGTCAGTAGAGGAGGTATTTGGCAGATGCTGTGATCCTCAAAGATTTACACCTTGTCTCCAGAAGGTATGCTTAAACAGAAATAATTAACAGCACAAACACAAGTGGGAAACAACTGGCAAAGGCAGAAGTTTGTATAAAGCGATCAAAGGGGTTCACAAGCTGACAATGATGTTGCCAAAAAGCAGAAATTCTGTTAAAATATGTGAGCAGGAGTGTTGGGTACTGCTGAGAGAATATCTGAGGTATTTTCAGTTTCTGATGCCTATCATCTTTCATGTCTCTCTCCCACCTGCCTTCTCTGCCCCACACACAGCCCCCCCTGTTTTTATTTGTAACACAGCAGAGATGTGGTTAATACATAGGTTAAATCTGCAGGATTTTTATAAGGAATATTTTTTTTTCACCCTCTAACTTCTGTTGACATCCATAACAAAATTTCAGTTAGGCCTCTTTTGGTAAAATGGTTTACTGAATGTTACCTTAGTTTTCGAGCTAAGTCCTCGGTAGTAGATGTCGGTTCATGCACTCAAATTCATGAAGTTATTTTGAGTATCTAAAAACTATATACCTATTTCTTCTAGTATTTTGGCAAGTATTTGGTTTTGTTGACTTACTTACAATGTCCAGATATCAGTAAAGCTAAGAATTTGCTTTTATTATATAGCCTAAATAAATCCTAGAGCGTGCTATAGGTATTTATAAACATTCTGGCTTTTATTGTACTTCTGGCTGTTAACCTGCATGTTTAACCCCAGATATTTATACAACTCCAACCTCATGTATATACAGTTTCAAGGTTGCTTAGTTGGGCATTTTTTAAGCTATCAGATTGGGTTTTATCTGGATGCGTTTCTGTTGTCAAAGAAATATCCAACTGATCCCAGAATGGGACACACCCTCCCCAACCCCCCCCAAAAAACCCCCAACCTAACACTCAACACCACCCACCCTCTGACCCCCCAAGAAAACCACCGAACAACCCAACAAAACCAAACAATCAAATCTTGATGTATTTTGAAATTCTTGCAATTAAAATCCATTGGCAGTGCTTCAGAACAGTAAAATTCAGTAGCTATGTAACAGGCCTTTTCCCCCTTCTGCTTCTGTTTGCAAGGGCTTCTCCCGCTCCCCCAGCAGAACAGGCAGGACTCAGTGCAGCTGCACTTGGAGCTGTGTTTCATTGCAGGTGAAACAGATGAGTGAGTGGAGACTAAATTTTGGCAGTGAAAGAGAACAATAATGCGGTCAGTTACTGCGTTGTGAATCATGAGTGTTAGGATTGGTTGCTAGTTGAGGTGTTGTGACTTCAGAAATAGTTCGTGTTTACTTGCAGCAGTGCTTAGTCAGTCTCTTTTTTTCACTCTCAAGTGTAGGAAAAAGAAAAGTTGTATGAATGTACAAAACATAGTGCTTCAGTGGTATTGTTTTGTTTGTTTTGATAGTCCATTCACAGTGGTCAAACCCTCAGTCAAAGTTTTGTAAGTCAACTGAGATATTTTAGTGTATGTATTACAGTAATTTTATACTAAAATTGAGATGATTGAAGTTTTACTGATTTCTGTCTTTTCCATTGTTTTTAACTAAAATCTTTCGACTTACTATTTATAAAATCATAAGTATAGGGAAAACAGTGAAGAAGTATTTACCATACTTCCCAATCCCAACATCTCACGTAGAATTGTCAAAACCTTCTTGTTTGAGACAGTATTGATACCATGCTCTTTTGATTTTTGGTACACTGCCAATTACTTGCCATGAGTACAATTACAATTAGTGATGTCTTCTTGGAGAAGCAAATGCTTTTCCTTCCCTTTTTTTTTTTTTTTTTTGGTGTGTGCTTGACAGGGTGGTTGGAACTAGATGATCTTTAAGGTCCCTTCCAACCCAAACCATTCTATGATTCTATGATTATAATGAAAGTTTCTCTAATGAGTGTTAAAATGGGCTGCACAGGATCAGCTTTATCAGGGAATAAGTTTAGAGCAGAATTAAATCCAAAGGTGTATGAAAACTCTCACTTGTTATTACCTACAAAGACTGTGTAGATTAGTTTTAGTTACTAGAATAGTGATAAACTGCTGCTGGGAATGTTTTCTTTGATTTCCCCGCCCCCTCCCCTGTTGTAATGTTCCTGTCAATGTGTTTGTGTTTTAAGGTTTCAAAGCAGAACTACCAGCTCTCAAAAAAAATCTTTTTGCATGTAGTATTTCTCTGGCTGATGGTGGCATATGTTAGATGTATAGAATTCTACTGGAAAGTGATAATTGTTGCAATGAATAAATTAAATTATTAAAAACTTCAAAGTATTTTGTGAGAACTACAGGATGGATGGATTAGTTTACCTGATCAGCTCTTCCACAGCAGTTCAGCAACTTGAGACAACTGTTCTAATGAATTAATTTTTGAAGTTAGGTTCCAGTTTCCCAAAATTGGTGATACTTTGAACAGCAGTATATAACTGTCTCCCCATATATTTGGCCATTTCCAACTTGCATCCCCAAAAAGAAGGCATTATTGTGTCAATCAACTCTCTTTTGCAATCTCAAGTTGCATTCCTTTTCAGGCCTGTAATCTGCTTCTGGTTTCCTGAATCTCATTTATGCCCCTGCTCAGCAATATCAGGTGTCTGTTCCAGCTGCATGTGTTAACACAATACAACAATTCAAAGGGAACCATTGCTGGTGTTTCATCTGTCCTGTAGAACTTACAGGAGACTTTGGTTCGGTCTATGTGCATGTTTTAAGTTTTGAGTTTCCTGATCCCTTCCAATGTTCCCCTATTACGGCAAATAACTGATGTCAAGTATATTGTAAAAACACATCTTGCAATTTCACATTTTCTGAGTTTATGGGGCGCTGAATTTATTCTTGTTAAACATTTAAAAATTAGATGATTCCTATAAACTTTTATAATCATATCGTATGTTATAGTCACACTGCCAGCTCATGTCCAGCTTTTCATCCACCAGTATCCCAAGTCCTTCTCCTCAGGGCTGCTCTCGATCCATTCTCCACCCAGCCTGTCCTTGTGCTTGGGATTGCCCCAACCCAGGTGCAGGACCTTGCACTTGGCCTTGTTGAACTCCATGAGGTTGGCAGTGGCCCACCTCTGCAGCCTGTCCAGGTCCCTCTGGATGCCATCCCTTCCCTCCAGCGTGTCGACCGCGCCACACAGCTTGGTGTCGTTACCAACCTTGCTGAGGGTGCACTCGATCCAACCGTCCATGTTGCTGACAAAGGTATTAAACAACAACATTCCCAATACTGATCCCTGAGGAATGCCACTCATCACTGGTCTCCTTCACTCAGACATTGAGCTGTTGACCACAACTCTTTTTGAGTGTGACCATCCAGCCAATTCCTTATCCACCGAGTGGTATATCTGGCAAATCCATGCCTCTCTATTTTAGACACAAGGAATTATCCTAAATAAGATAAGGCTATAAATACAGCTTGCAAATGTAAGATCTTTTGAGGGCTAAAAATTCGCTCTAAATCTATGCTATATTTCCACAAGCATAGGAAGCAGATGGTCGAGGGAAAATAAGCAAAGTTTTAATTTTAAAATGGGTCCTTACAAAATGTGACAGTAATTTCCACATTTTTATTTTGGAGAATTTTAAGTTCTTTTCTATGGACATGCAAGCTCCATGAGAAAATCTTGGATATTATTTTGTAGCATGAATGAACATGATCTTTCATGGATCTTGAAAGCATGGATCATGCTTTCAAGAAGCACAGGTCAGGGACCACTGACTCAGACTTCAGGATGTTTAGCGTGCATCACAGTTACTTATTGTAGTTTTATTTATTGGCTTCTTTGCTTTTAGGAGCCGTAGCACTGAAGAATCTTGAAATAAAAGAAAATGCACTGGTAAGTTAGTGAAAATAAAACTGTCGAGAAAACGGTTCTTGAACAAAGTTTTGGATTGTATGTGCTTTTTTATTCTTATTTTAGGATATGCTGTCTTTCAAGTGAAAAGTTACTGTTTTGCCTTCTGTGCACTTGTGTGGGTTGTCTTATTTGAGATTAATTAATTGTAAAGGTGAATATGTTTGCTGGCTTTTTTTTTTTTTTAAACCAACCTCTTGGCAATTGCTAAAAGAATGTGTTGAAGTCAAAAGCAATACTGAAAGACTACTTTTTTTTCCTGATAGCTCATGAAGCTAGAAACTTGCTCTTGGGAACGTGTTTAGTCTAGCATGGCTTAACAGTCTAAATCGGTAACCAAACGCTTGCTTGTTCTGTTATATTGGATGGATTGTTTTAGTAGTTGAAAGGTAAATTTGTTGTTAAAGTTATCTTTTTTTTTTTCCTTCTAATGGGAACATTTCACAAGTTGCTGAAATGAACTTAAATATTTTAAAACTTTTTCAGAGTCAGCTGGATGTGCCATTTAAAGTTAAAGCAGGACATATCGGTAAGTTACATTTTATTGTACATCCATGCAGGAGTTACTAAAGATACTACTTTTCCTTGCAAGTGGCTCTATGCACCTTAAGTAAGCAATTTTCTTTGTTTTCTTGCATGTTTTGTATTCTGTGAAGTTTGTGTATTTTGGGGAAAAAAACCTGTTTGAAGAAGCTTCTTTTCTTTAGCTGAACTGATTAAGTTAAAATATACTGGAGTCTTGCCTAATCACTTCAGTATTGATAAGAAGAGAATCCAACACAGGAAAGATGAGCAGCTGGGCAAGACTGGATCTCATCCCTTGTCTTAGCAAGACTCCATAACTGATTTTGCCTTCCACTTCCCTTTCTATCCTTCCCTGTTATTGGTAATATAAAAAGTTTTCTCTTTGCAGGTGGATTGTCCTATAAAAGTTAGTGATTTCTTAAAGTGAGACTAAAGCCATAATTTTTCCTTTAAATCTACCCTAGAACTGTCACATTTTCAGTCACATTTTCCTGTGACTGATTTCATAATTTATTAAAATTGGGACTTGTGTGAAGAATGAGAGGTGCTGTAACCTCAGGGTCCCCATGTTCACAGAACATACACACTACTTCAAGACTCCCTTCCACAGAAAAAGAAAAATATGTATTTAAAAAGTGCTGCTTTTGGGAATATTTAGCTGACTGATCATATATGAGCTTCCCATGACTCTTGTTTATGAGGGTGCTACAGTGGCTTTGCAAGGAGGGAGGGGTTGCTGTTAAGAAGGAATATAATTCAGAGGAGTAAGGAGAGGCCCTTTAGACTTAATAGTTCAGCTCATGGAAAAATTTGCTTCATCTTCTCTTGTGTGCAGTGTAAAACAAAAACCCAAAGGACATCTGACTCAGATGCACTGTTGTTTTTGTCCAGTATAATAATTGTTCAGAGATTTTGTGGATAATGTTGATTATCTTTCTAATATTTTTTTCCCCGGTCAACTATGTAACTGTATACCTCAACCTTTTCCTTTTTTGTTTGTAGGTCAACTTAACCTACAGATTCCATGGCAAAACCTTTATACTCAACCTGTTGAGGCAGTTCTTGATGGAGTTTATTTGCTTATTGTGCCCACAGCCAGTAAGTTAATGTAGAGGGGGAAGAAAATACAGATTGGTGGGATTTCAGAATCATCTGGAATGGGTTGATACTAATACTTCCCGGAGAGGGTGGTGAAGCACTGGAACAGGTTGCCCAGAGAAGCTGTGGATGCCCCATCCCTGGAGGTGTTCAAGGCCAGGCTGGATGAGGCTTTGAGCAACCTGGTCTAGTGGAAGGTGTCCCTGCCCATGGCAGGGGGTTGGAACTAGATGGTCTTTAAGGTCCCTTCCAACCCAAACCATTCTGTGATTCTCTGATTCTATTTCTATGAGCTTTATTCCTAGTAGATACTCCTAGTCAATACAGTTAGATAATGGGAATGAGGAAGTTTTCAGTAGTTTACATTTAGTCACCTAAATTTCTGCTATTATGTAACCACTAACAAAATGTGAAAACTACTGCTTTTGAAACAGCATATTTCAAAAATGTGTAAGGTTTTTTTTGTATTATACCTCTCTACACTGTGTATTTAGGCATCAAATATGATGCTGAAAAAGAAGCCAGGCAGCTTTTGGAAGCAAGACAGAGGGAATTGCAAAGGATAGAGGAAGCAAAGCAGAAAATAGCTGACCAAGGTAAGAGTGGGAAAAGCTGATTGAAGTGATGCTATGTATTTCTTTATTTTAGATTCCTGTTTTCCTCTTGATACTTAAACCTATTAGTTACTGACTTTTTTTCAGGTGTAGCTGCAATCAGTATTTCAGAACAGGCATCCTGAAAATAAAAACGTTTAAGAACTGATGAGAGCTGATCTAAAAAGGCTTTTGAAATACTGCATGCTTGTCTTATATGTTGCCTGACATTTTCTTTCATAAGAACCAATTTAACGTTGTTTCCAGTAGCAAAGAATTCTCAAGCTTACATCTTTTTAATGATTCTGTTTAATTTTTTCTTTGATACATGTTAAGTCTTATCTTAAATTCAACTTGAAGTACTTTCAAGAAATCTGTGTTTGCCACCTTGAATATCAGTGGGTACAAGTCATACTTTTGAGATACCTGATTCTTCATGCAACAGGAACAAAGCTGAAGCCATCTAATCTGGGGATATATATGTGTTAGATTATACTGAAAGGACAAGCTTTTATACAAATAAAGAAAAATTAAATAGAAAACTTAAATATCTATCATACAAACTGTGTTTCTGTTTTTCCTGTTGTAATTTTAAAAGTTCTTTAACACAATCAAAATATGAAATTATTTTCCTTTAACTTAGATAAAGTGAAAGAAGAGAAACAAGACACTTTTGTAGAAAAACTAGTCACTCAGGTCATCAAAAATCTTCAGGTGAAAATTTCCAACATCCATATTCGCTATGAAGATGATGTAAGTACTTTCGTATATCCCAGAATAAGGGGTTGTTCACTGTAACATGAAGTTAGGAACCTGGCTGATTTATTGTCTCCTATTTGCTTTTCACATTGAAAGAATCCTAGTTAAGTTTGGAAATTTTAGTCTTAAAATTAAAAATGAAAACTGACAAAAAGGTCATACCAAAGCCTTAAGATATTTATATGATTGCATACACAGATGATATAGTTGTCAGATCTTTAGCCAACAAGAAAAAATAATATAGCAATTTGCTTCCAAATCTAAATTTAGGGCATAAGATAATCCTTTTTTGGTATTTTCCCCTTGCTCTATTAGATCACAAATCGGAATAACCCCTTGTCATTTGGGATTTCACTTCAGAATCTCAGTTTGCAGGTAACGTCATTTTTTATCTAAAAAGCATGTTGATGTATACAGAGTTGTGTTTCTGTGTATTACTATGTTGTCTGGTAACATACTGTCTAATGAAAGTATACCTATAATCATGAGCAGTGCACAATGGTAACTGCTTGGTTTATCAAATCTAGCATAAATATTGTGGCAGGGGTACCATTAAAGACAAAGTGCTATCATTAAAACAGACCTTGGGAGGAAATTCTTATTCTTCTGCCTGCTGCATTTTGTGGTTGCTAAGTACCAGACTTTGCTGGATTTGGGCTATTCAGAACATGTGAATATTTTACAGAAACTGCCATGATCTCCAGGAAAGGGAGTTACTACTTGATACTGGAAAGGAAAAAGAGGATGGCATCTTGTTTCAAACTGGAGCTCAGTTCTATCATGATCTGCAAGCTCTGCTTTAAAGTGTTAATAGTAATCATTATAGACTCTGTAATTTTTTTTTTTCTGGAGGACTACCTAATAGCAGCAATATGCTGATTCTCTTGAGCTGTTCTGATTTAGTAGCTTTCGCTGTGTAACTGGTAATCGTAAAGAAAATATGTCCAAGTAAATGTTACTTTCTTGAATGAAAAAGTTGTCATACGAATACTTGTTTCTAACACATTGGGAGTTTTTTGCCAGCCCCTTCCCCTAAACAGTTTTGCACAGTGAAAAAAAGCTTTGGTATTCTTACTACTTCTCTCTTGAAATGGATATTAGTCTTGAAGTGTAATAGCATGTAGTGTTTCTGTTGGGTTCATACTAAAATGCAATTCCAGAATTACACAAGAATTCTAGTCTCTTGTTCATCTCTTTCTGAAAACAATCTGCAGTACTGAAAACAGAACTTTAAAGAATCTTTCAGTTCTTGTGTGCAGCCTGTCAGTCACTGCACGTATACATGTGTATTTTGTTGGGAAGGAGGTAGCCATATCAAGTTTCCACTTACAGTAATGGCTTAATCATTTTAAATCAGAAGATGCATCCCTTCCTGTCTCCGACCCATCGGGTCATGAGATCTCCTCATTAATATCTTCTTGGCCCTGTTGGTGATTGGCAGCACTGGGAGCCTTACGCAGAAGGAGCTGAGACCTTCTGATCCTCTCTGGAGCATGACTGGGCAGTAGCCCCTAGCTCCCTAGGTGCCTGCTGGTGTGGTGGGTATTCCTGGCTGATTGGTGCCTCCAGCTCTTCCCCGTTTGCCCAGAGAAGCTGTGGATGCCCCATCCCTGGATGTCTTCAAGGCCAGGCTGGATGAGGCTTTGAGCAACCTGGTCTAGTGGAAGGTGTCCCTGCCCATGGCAGGGGGGTTGGAAGTAGATGGTCTTTAAGGTCCCTTCCAACCCATCCAGTCTATGATTCTACGGTGTCCTGTTATTTTCAGTGGGGTTTAATTATGGTGATGTTACTCTCTTTTTTTTTTTTCCCTGTATGTTTCAGTGACGACAAAATGTTGGTGTATTATAGATACTAGAATAACTTTCTTTAATTCTTATTTTAGACCTCAGATAAGAATTGGAATCCATGTTTACATGACGAAACTGCTAAGTTGTTCTACAAGGTACAGTATAAACTGTATGCTAAAGAAGGAACTTGAATTCAGCTTGTTTTATTAACAGTTCTTTCCACAGAAAGTGAGATCACAAAAACGTGTAACTGTATAGGCTCTGAAATAAAAGGATGTATAGCCTGCAAGAAACATTGAATATTTTTATTCATCCAGACTTTGTGAAATCCAAACTATTAATCTAAAATTCATAGATATTAATACGTATGTTCTGTTGTATTTTCAGCTTGTACGGCTGGATAACCTTTTTGCTTACTGGAATGTGAAATCAGAGATGTTCTATCATGGTGGTTGTGAAGAATCGTTGGTAGGTCAATGTGGCTGTTTAGTCTGGCAGGCAGCTAAACACCACAGAGCTGTTCGTCATGGGTTTTCCCCCCTACCCTGACAGTGGGATGGGGGAGAGAATCAGGGTGGAGGGAAGGGGTAGAATTCATGAGCTGAAATAGTTCAATAGGACAGAAAAAGAAGGAAAAGTAATAATAGTGATAAAAGAATATGCAAAAGTGATGCACAGTGCAATTGCTCATTTCCTGCTGGCTGATGCCAAGCCAGTTCCTGAGCAGCAATCCCTCTAATTTATATACTGATCATGAAGTCATATGGTGTGGAATATCTCTTTGGCCAGTTTAAGTCAGCTGTCCTGACTGTGTGCCCCCAAACCTTTTGTGCCTCCCCCAGACCCTCCAGCTCCCCACCACACCCAGGGTCCTGTCTGGCAGGGCAATATGAGAAGCTGACAAGTCCTTGACTTAGTGTAAACATGGCTTAGCAACAACTAAAACCTCAGCGTGTTATCAATGTTATTCTCATCATAAATCCAAAACATAGCACTATAACAGCTACTAAGAGGAAAATTAATGCTATCCCAGCCAAAACCAGGACAGTAAAGCATGAGATAATGCATCTTGTATTCTAGTTCATACTCTGAAGGATGCAGCCTGGTTCACATTCATTTGTCCTTCAATTTATGTCAGTGTCCTGGCAAATTGTCTTGTTACTAGTACATTTTTTAGTAAAAATAGTAAATGTTAAGGTGTTTATGTGTTGGAAATAAAGCACTCATCTTAGGATGTCAAAAAAGTCCTTTGCCAGCTTTCAAATTAGATGTATTATATGGCCATCTCACTGTGCAGTGATTTTTATTCACTGAAAATAGAAGCTTAATCTGTTGATAAGATGAATATTTTGAATTGTACTGTGTATCAGAGGAATGATCTGAAACCTGTATTAAAATGCTAACATTTTATATTTTAAAACTATCATGAAATAAAATGCAACTTACTTTTAACTCCACTGTGTATGTAGGTTAATTTAAAACTGGGAGTTGCCAGCCACAATGTGATTCCAGAAGGTTATGATTTTGGTAAGTGGCATTTTATTTGTATTTGTAATGTGCGTGTATACTTCTAATTTTTAATGCAAAAGTTGCTATTTTGGCTGTTATTTCAAAAATCTTAATAAGGAGTGCAGTTTTGTTCTCTTGTAGGAATGTCTCTGACAGTGAATACTGTGCCATATCTGTAGCCTTAAGGCTTTGACAAAAGTCTTAAGTCCTGTATCATTGTAATGGAATGTCATACATAAATCCTCATTGTTCACATCCATTGCTAATTCCTTATTTTAAGTTTTGTGTATCAGATTGGTGTGAGTAACAGATTAATCTTTTTGAGCTCGCTTGCCTTATATGAAGTGTTTCTTTTTTCATTAGGGATGGAAATAGTAATCTCAAAACTCTGAAACATCAACTTCTTTGTGTTGCCATATTTCAAGCTGTGTTGCTTAGTCTGGTCCAAAAGTTTTCTTGGTTCTACTCAAATGTGGTGGTTGTTTACTTTTCATTGTATGGAAAATGCCTAGTTTTAATTTCTTATGTGCATCCCTATGATTGTGTAGTAACTGTTTACAAGGCAGAATCCCCCTTGAAGTGGTATGGGTTTTTATTGCTGCCTTTGCCTGAAACAGGGAGCCTCTTGTGTCTGTTTATTTGACTGCCAGGAAACTACTTAGTAATATATTCTGATTTCTGACTTACTGTTTTTGGTTGCTAGCTTTGACTCTTTTTACAAGAAGATGAGTTTAAACATCATCAGTTTTTAGGTCTTAACATAGAAGTTCACAATGGTTGTATGCAAAATTGCAGGATTCAGGATTTACATTCTTAAGTGCCGTAAGATGCAGATATATAAAAAATTGCATCATGCTGATATTCTGTGGTAAACTGAAATTATGGTTCTTTTAGAGCAGCTCTTCAAATTGAGACATTGATAGAAAGGTAGTAAGCACAAAGTCTGCTGATGTCATTTGGTCTAAATGCAGGCATACACAGAGGAAGGATGAAAAATGAAACATAAGAAAGTAAATACAGAGAGAAAATTAATAGAAAAGCTACCATGTAAAATACGTAGGTAAAAATAAAGTAAACTTCACAAGAATTACAGGCCTTAAAATGAAACAAAGGTGGATTGGTGTATATGTGGTTTCACTGTGCAAAAATGTCTGTTTCCACTTGAATGAACCTTTACATGAGTTTTGAGTATTCGGTATGTTGATGGTCTAGCAGCATTTCTGTTGAGATCGAGGAATTTTATTTGATAAAAATACAATTTACACAAATTCAAGTAATACAGAAACTCCTATTGTTGGGTAAGTTGTGGAAACTGATGGAAAAAATTAACTAAATGTTGCTTCTGAAGGCTATATTGAATGCCCGATACTGCCAAATTGTGAAACAGAGGAAACGTTTCTGCTGTGAATATTTTTCATGTGATGTGCTTTGCTTTACATAGGAGCCATATTGATTTCTTCCATGCTCACTTGGATTTAGAAATGTGTAATGTTTGGTTTTATCTACTGTTGTGAGGTAATTTATCAAACAGTGAAAAACATAAGTAGCATTAAAAAATATCCTTATGGAATAAGGGTTTGAATCATAGTGAAATAAGTGCTGTGTTTGAAACTATATTGTGCTTTAAGTAGCTTATATTATAGCCAAAAAATTGGATTTGTTGCAAATAAAAACTAGTAATTGAAACGTCTGCCATGTAATACTGCATACAGGAAATGTTATGGAAATATTCCATAAATGTTGCCAGAATGAAACTGGAAATTCAGTATAGACTTTATGATACTTTAAGCTGCTTTGAAGAAGTCTTTGTGTTTTGAAGTCTAGCATTTTAAAATTAATAATCTGACATAACTTGAGCTCATAAATATTGTGTATCATTTATGGCAGTCTTAAATAATTTAATAGCACCTTTTATATCAACTTCTTTTTTTAGTATTCCGTCCAATTTCAGCTAGAGCCAAACTCCTTATGAATCCTCGATCTGATGTTGACTTTTCATCACCCAAAATGGATTTAGATGTAAATTTACAGGATATAACTGTGGAATTCAATAAGCCACAGGTACAGACTTTTTCTGAAGTTGTATGTAATGTTGTAAAAAAAGTTTGTTTGCAACTAACTTTAGTTAACTTTTAAGCAGTCTGAAATTTCGTAATAAACATTCAGAATCAATTAACATTTTAATCTTGTTCTTTTGTGTAAATTATTTTCTTTTTAAGGAGAAGCTTGATTTGTGGTATTTCAAGCCAGTAACAGCTTGAATAATTTCTCTTTTTTTTTTTTTTTTTAGTATTTCAGTGTTATGGAGCTTCTTGAGTCTATTGATATGATGACTCGAAATCTGCCATATAGGAAGTACAGACCTGATGTTCCATTGCACAACAATGCCAAGACATGGTAGGCCACTTCAGACTTTGAAAATAATCTTAGGTATTAATTTGAAATAATTACCAAGGGATTGTTTGTTGTTGTTGGTTGTTTTTTTTTTCTTTTTTATTAAGGAGGTTAGAATTCATCTCCTTCTGGAACAAAGTCTTCCCTTTTGTTTTTGTTTGTTTTTCTTAAGCTAGTAGTATTAAAAAAGACGTTGATGAGGACCTCAAACCAAAGGTGAGGACACAGTGTTTGAAAGCTTGCATTTGCTGTCTTAAAGACAATTATCAGAAACTTAAGCCTGATAGAATTTTAATACCCTAGTTGTGTTTTAATGAAGGAGACCACATTATATGCTAGGTACTATTACAAGAATATAGCAATTATCTAAAATTAGTCAAACCTTTTCGACACAGATGTCAGAGATTTGATTTCATATTATTTTTACAAATATGTTTTGGTTATTCACATACACCATATTCATATATTCGTAGGCACTTTATGTATAAGGTTACTTTTTAATTTTAGGAAATGGTAAGCCATCAACTTCATGTCAGGGAAAAAAGATAAGATCCCTATGTTCCTCTACTGATCAGAAGTGTGATATTAGACATGGGATTTCATTCTTTCACATCTTGACGTTGATTTTAGTGGGAGTTTGCATAGCTCTAGATGTCTTTTCAATATACTAAAAAAAAAAGGAAACTATAGTTCATTTGTCCTTCCTTTTAGGTGGAAATACGTTATTTATGGCATCCTTGAAGTAAATGTTCAACCTAAGCTCCAAATGTGGTCATGGGAACATATTCGGCACCATAGGAAGCAAGTGAAGACATACAAAGAGATGTATAAAACAAAAATAACAGCAAAAAAACCTAATGAAGAAATTGTAAAATTGTTGGAGGTTAGCCATTTTCTATTAAAGGCTTAAATTCTGTTAATCTTGCTGTTTTCTTAAACCTAAATATTTACGTGTTTCAAAGTCAGTGCAAGTTAAATTAAAATATTCGGTGGCCAGACTTGCGACTTCATCAGTACCTTTCTCCGAGTAGTATTAACAAACATATTACATAATTTTTTTTAAATTAGTAACTATAATGAAGAATAACTTAAACTAATGTGCTTTTCTTTTCCATGTCTAAGTGTTCAGCTTGAGCAAATTAACTTGGGTTGCACTGCAAGAGTTGTTTGCTGTCACTTTCAGTAATACTGAGACATGAAATCTAATCAAATGGAATTGTCAGAATATGATTTCTCGCTTCCTTTCTAGGAATTTGAAAAGTCCTTGGATATTTTTAACATCACTCTAGCACGACAACAAGCAGAAGTTGAGGTAAAATGTCATTGTTTAAGTCAGTCTGAGAATAACTGCGACGTGCATTATTGTTCTAGTGATTGAATTGTGCATCATAGTCTTTGTTTTCCTTGTACTTCATGTTTGCTGTTATGAGGCATGGTTAGTTTCAGCTTGTAATTAAGCAAACATTAAATAGCTCCATATACTGCTTCTTCAGAATAACTTACCTGGGATAAATTCACTTCCAGTTTTGGTGAGGAAGACATATTGTGGAAAATATGGTCAAAGGATGATACAGTTAATTCAAGTTGGAAGTGATTGTACCCAAAGGTTCAGGTTTTTTCCCCTCTCCCTCTCCCCCAGCAGCCTAGACTATTACGTTATTCCTTTCTTTCCTGATTACTGTGTTATTTAGGCTGAACACCTGTACATGTAGTATGTTGACCTTTTGTTACTGTTTGCATCTGTTATTCAGAATACAGCAAATGCAGAATATATTTAAGTAGATAATCACAATTAGCAAGATAATGCAACTTGAGTAGTTACACTTAATTTGTTAGCCTTGTTTTTGTTAGGTTAGTGTACTGCTCAGTTTTCAGTGTAGTGTCAGAGAATCATTCCAGGAGAGTAAAATGATGCTATGTAGGTTTTCTGAAGTCTGTCAAGTGGTCTTTCTGCATTAGTAATAAATGTGACTAAGCAGAATATGAAGTTTAGAATCTGAATGTATTGATAATTAAACTTCATGAATGTCAGTCATGTCTTACGGGAGTGATTGAAATATATTTGATTTTTTTGAGTCTATTAAGTATGGTATGAACGTAATTGCTGCAGCTATAGATACGGTGCTTCTAAATCAAAACTCTGAACAGGAATCCATAAATGTGATTTTCCCCTCCCCCCCCTCCAAGTTGTCTGTTATGTAAACCCAGATTTGGATGCTTGCATGATCATTATCCAGACTTTTGCAGAACCAGAAGACACATTCATGTCCCTCTCCTTCAGCTGTTTGGCTGAATTGGAGTGCTTTTCATGAGAACAGTGTTTTTGTGGTGTTTTAGTTCTCATTAACTCTTGACATGTATTTATCTTGTACCAAATAGTTTCTTTTGGTTTTATCTTTTTCCTGCTACTTTTTGGAGGTTGAGGGAGATCCCAAAGAATTCTATTGGCCTGTAGGTGAATAGAAGTGACAAGTCCCTACAAAGATCTGACTTATAGCCAGCTGTTTTCCCTAATTATTTGGCAGAGGCAACTTGAGTGTTTGATTGCTGAGAGATCCTTGTCTCACACACTCTGGGTATCACATTCACCAGAGGATCTTTAAATTCAGGTCCTACCTGCAAGTGTTCATATTTTTTGGATCATATTAGTCATGAAGAAGAAGTATGTGTGGCCCACTACAGTTTTGAGAATTCCTCTGTCTCTTAGATCTCTTGAGGTTATTTAGCATTGCTTATATCAAACTTTCAGTAGTCAAATCTGGATGTAGTTTGCACTTTGTGAGGAGCCTGTATTGGAATCATGTAGTGATTTAGCCTTACCTGACAATTAAGTACTACTCAGTTGCTCTGTCATCTCTTCCTCCCCCTGCCAGTGAAGGAGTAAAAGTCAGAGGAAAAAAAACCAAGAAAAGCTCGTAAAAGTTGAGATAAGAACTATTTATATAGAACTGTATGTATGTCTTTTACACACACACACACACATATATATATATAAGGTACTTATATATGAAACTTACAGTGATACTAACAAAGCTACTACTACTAAGTAATTAAACCAATAGAAAATAGCACATGTGATACAGTATTTCACCACCTGCCGACTGACACACAGACAGATCCCAAAAGCAGTGAACAAATCTGAGTGGAGAGAAATCTCCGAGCCCAAAAACAGGGAGAAAAACCCCTGAGCCTGAGAGAGCATGGAGAAAAAAACCTGCCAACCCCCTAAAAAAAGAACCTGCTTCTCTGCTAATGGAATGAGGAACGACACAGCTATCAGCTAGCCCAAAAGCCTTAACGATCCTTCCCCTCAGGGCCACTTTTTCGCACCTTTCAAAACTGTGCATACACCCAGCCTGACCACTGAGCCTGACCTACCATGGAATGAAACAAAATCCCTGTGGGCTGACTTGTCCCTGCCTGAAACCAGCAGAAATCATCACTGGCATCAGACAGGACATCCTCTAGTTGTTGAAATAATGAATGTGGTTGAAAGCAAGGTTTCCTTACTGTTATATCAGGTCCAGCAATAGTCTTGCGTATTCCTTAGAGTAAATATTCTATTACAAGAGTAATGATTTTAAAAAATTATTATTATTGCTTTGGACATCTATCTTGAAATGAGAAAATACAGGGATCACTTAAAATTTGGCCTCTGCTGGCTATTTAATTGCTCAAATATGTATTTTTAATGATGCCTTTTAAGTGCATTGTTGCAATGCAGAACACTGTATAATGCTCTGGAATTTTTTTTGGTGGCAAAAGCTAGAGAGACAATCTGCTATGTAAGAAATATGTATGGGCTTAATCAGCCACCTTTTGCTTGCTCTTTTTGTTTGTAAAAGTGGTTGATTTTATGCAGGTAAGAATTGGTGTAATGATGCAATGACTTTGAAAGAGTTAGAAGAAAAAAACCCTGAAAAATAACATGTTGCCTTATCAGTGGCTGTATAATACTGTTTTGGTATGTTGGAGCATGTCTTGGGTCTGTATTTTTCTTAGGAAAATGAAGAAAGAAGCATAAAGAAAATAACTTGTTTGAGTCTTTTCTTAAATTTCAGGCAACTAAGGCTGGATTAAAAATCTACCGACCAGGAGTCAAGCAAGATGATGAAAATTCTGGTGGCTGGTTTAGTTGGATATGGAGCTGGTCAGGTGAAAAAAAGGATGAACAAAACCAAGAAGTAAAGGGTTCAAGTATGTTCATTTATTGGTATTGTTTCTGTTGCTAAAAATGATTTATTAGACCAGTAGGTCCCTAGCAATGGAAACTTGAATTAGTTTAATACTTAGGCTATTGGTTTTTTGACAATTACATTTTCTCTTAGCCTTCTTTTGCTGATGTTGTTAATTGCATGTTACAGAGGTGTCTTAAAATTCCTTTCATAGATCTTTCTGATCTGTATTCCATTTGTGCTGTCTCCTGCCACAGTTTTTGCATTTGTCTGCCTGGTGTACTGTGTATGGGGACCTGAAAAAAGTGCTAGAAAACAGTAGCAGTTTGGAATGTAAACAATTTTACTTCCATTAATTTTGGAACTTGGCTATTTCATGCAGTGTATTGGAGTTTTAGCCCCTTAAGTAGAAGGCACTTAGTAAAGGCTGTGGAACATGGAAAGTAAATAAAAAAGGCTACTTCTGTTGTTAGCTAGCTAGGAAATAGGTCAGAATAAAAGTATAACTGCATTTTAAAGCATGCTTTAGGAGGCTTAAGACTTTGCTTTAAACCGTAGAGTTTTTGCTTTTACTAATTCAGGATGATGTTGACAGTATCTACTCTATGTTATGGAGCTACCAGGCTCTGGAAAGTGTAATGGTATTTGCATTTTTCAGATACCTATACTGACTTTAACTAACCTCTGTCAACGTGACAGGTCTTGAAGAGCTGATGACCCGTGAAGAGAAGGCTAAACTTTATGCAGCAATTGGATATAGTGCAACAGCTGTGGATCCAACCCTTCCAAAATCAGTAGGTCATAACTGAACAATTGGTAGCTTTATCTACTCATAAAAATCTAAAGATGATAAGAACCACTTCTAAAATTACTTGAAGCTCTGTTTCTATATTTGAGTGTTACTCTGACAGCTTTGCTGGCTTTGTGTGTAACACTATCCTTAGTTGTAGTTTCAACAGAGTCGTTACAGAGCTTACTTTGGATATTCTGGAAGACTTCAGAAGGAAATTTTTCCTGCTTAAGCTAAAATAAAATCATAGAAGTAGTGTATTGTAGTTTAAGTTATGAAATGCATCGTACGGTCTTACAATGTTCAGAAACTTTTTAAGAAAGTGCACTAAGTGATTCACTGGAATCTTAAATATGAATGATAGCAGTTGAGGGAGAGAAGGTGAGTATAGAAGGAATGAGGTAGTTGAAGAACTGTGGTGAGGAAGAGCAACTTTTTTGAACCATTCAGAAATGGTCTGATAAGTCATCTTTGTCTGAGATACCATGCAGGGTACAATGGACTGCCTTTCAGATCTGTTAGAGGCTCTTTGTCTCAGAATGTGGTGTAGAGCTATCAAAGACATACACTCTTACTCTACTCCTGCCCCTTTGTAATGACTATTTGGGAATGACTTTCACACCAGCTATGATACATGCTATTTAGAGCACTAGGAAAATAGCATCAAACTGGCGTTTGTGGTTTTCATAATGTCATAAACTGTATTGAAAGGTGTATTAATATTTTATAATCCACTGTTGTTGTTTTTCCTAGTATGAAGCCATGAAGTTCTCTGTGAAGTTATTAAGCATGTCTATATCACTAAGAGAAAACAAGCAAACTCCCAAGCTGGTAGAATTTGCATTAGCTGGCTTGAGTACAGTATTTACCCAGCGACCAGGTGCACAAGCAATAAGGTGAACTTTCTCTGTCAAACTTCTTTTGCTGCTCATGAAATGATGGGTAATAGGAATTTTAAGGCTATGTTATGATGCTTAACTTCCATTTTTCATTGTCATTTCTTGTCCAGTTTGGGAACAGAATCATCCTGCAGCTGATGACAAATTGAATAGATACTGTTTACATGAATAAGTTTTCTCCATCTTCAGAATTTTTGTTGCCAATGTGGATTTTCTCCTTTTTTCATTGTATTGTTATTACAAGCAATCCAGTTACTAGCTTGTTTCTTGCTTTAAAAAGTTGCTGTTACTCCTTTTGAGACTTGGTCTGAGCAGGGTGTTCTCATAACCACCTGTGGATAGGCATTTAGCATGGCTGAAAAGTTCTTGAGTTTTCAGTTGAGCTTTTAGATTTGCAGAAGAAGGCTGTGACTGATGATTTTGGCTTAGTTTTGTGCTCTCCCAGTAGATGATGAATAGCAGTGATACGAAATACTTTACGTTAATTTCAAATGTAAAGACTTAAATTCCAGGGGAGGGTGGCCTTTCTGTTTTAAACCTTGTCCCCTCTGCTTCAGAACATGTTAGTATAGTCTATGCATGATGTTAAGACACTCTTGATCTTGTGAAGTTTTATGCATAACTTTCTGAATTTTTTTGCTTGTGGCTTTTCTGTTTGTTCGCCTGTGCATCTTAAATGGTGGTGTTAATGCTGTCCTACTGAGAAATGTGGAAGAAAATGTTACATTTTTACAGTGAAACACTTCCCTTGGAGTGTAGGGAGAGAAAGATCTTCCACTGAGAACTGTTAAAGAGGTGAACAGCAAACTGGGGCAGGGAACAAAAAAAATCCAACACTAAAAAATACAGAGTAATGAGGCTGTTCAACTTTGTGCTCCTCTTGTGGTGTTACTTTTATTCCTCTGCACTAGAACCATTTCCTCTCTGCTGTATCTCTCTTCCCCAGTATAAACTCTACCATGTAATTCCTGAGCTCATACTATGGAACTGCCATTTGCATGTGTCTCCCCTTCCCTGACACCTGTTCTAATGAAAAGTGTATGAAGTGAATAATTTGGAGCCCCTTTCTTATTTACTCAGGGGTGGCTAATAGACACAAAAGGTAAAAGAATGGAAACCAACACAGTGATATGTGTTATATCCTTAGACTAAGCTATTTATATTTAAGGTAGGGTAGAGATTTGTTGTTTGTTTGGTGTATTGGTTTTTTTGGTTTGTTTTCTGTCAGCTCATTCTTTATACTCTTCCCATGTCATTGTACCTAGCCAGGTGGATATTACATCTGAACTGCTTTACCTTTCTTTACAGATTTGAAACAAGAATTACCTCACTTGAAGTTACAGGCATGTCTCGAGAAAAGTGTATACCCTGTCTCCTATCTTCTCGAACAGTCTATTCAGATGAGAGTACCTCACTTCTAAGCATAATGTTTGAGACTAATCCTTTGGATGAGAAAGCAGATCAGAGGCTTAGAATAGAATCACAGCCACTGGAAATAGTATATGATGCAGTAAGTAAATATTTGTATAAGTTACAAATCTTGAAAAAATGTACTTAATAGTAAATTTGCCATGTATTATTTTTGCTTTATTTTAACAGATGACAATAAATAGCTTAGTGGATTTCTTCAGGCCTCCAAAAGAGGTACATTTAGAGCAACTGACATCAGCAACTCTGATGAAGTTGGAAGAGTTCCGTGAAAAAACATCAACAGGCAAGTGCTGCATGCTCTTCTGATTGTACACTTGGACAAACCTTAGATTCTAGGATTATGAAAAAATATTTTTCATATGGTGATTCATGGATCCAAAGTCATAGCTTTCTAACAGAACACCTAAATAAATTGAATTCTCATTACAAAGCACTTGTGCTAGGTATTGGATAATTTTATGTATCTTTTTCAACTTCATCTTCCTCTGTAAAATATGCTCCACACCCTGAGGTAGTATTTCAGTATTTATTCTGTTGTACACCATGCAGAGTTAAAAACAGTTTGTTACTATCAACTTGTCTGTTTTGTTCATCTGAGTATTTAAATGGACTTAATAGTCTCATTCTTTAAAAACAGTTACTGACATGTTAGTCCTCTAATGAAAGCCTGAAGTTCTTTCCAGAGTTGTTGCTTTTCGGGACACTATCTGACTTTGTATAGGTGTTTTCCAGTTTCTTCCCAGCTGAATGTTGATTTTTATCTGGATTGAATCAGACCAAGTCTCATAAACTGTATTTATCTGTCTTCTAGTTACTCAGCATTAAAGCCATTCCTGTAGTTTTCATCTCATCCTAGCTGTTTATCTCTAGAGGTATTATGTTTTGACACATGAATGAAAATGGTGAATACTTTTAAGACTAACACTGAGATCTGTGGAATTATTTTGTTCCAGTAAGGATGTCTGAGGCTTTCTAGATCAGAGGTGTGTCTAGTGCAGTGTCCTGTCTCTTGGCTGTGGATGAGAGGATCATAGAATGATTTGGGTTGGAAGGGACCTTAAAGCCCATCTAGTTCCAACCCCCCTGCTATGGGCAGGGACACCTTCCACTAGACCAGGTTGCTCAAAGCCTCATCCAGCCTGGCCTTGAACACTTCCAGGGATGGGGCATCCACAGTTTCTCTGGGCAACCTGTTCCAGTGCTTCACAACTGGATGCTAAGGGGAGAATTCATATATTCACTTTTTTAAAAGTGAAGGAAAACGAATTTTTTTTTAACCTCATTTAAATGTGTTAACCTCTTAATATTTAAATCATACATTTAGAAAATCCAAATAGTGATAAGTGAAAAGTTGGAGAACTCAGGCATAATGTATTATTTAATTGATTGCTTTTATCAAGTTATCAGGGATGAAATGAACCATCAGTTACATTTCTATTCATTAGTTCTTCAGCTGAACTGTTTAAAGATGAATGTGAGATTAATCATTCAAAGTTAGGTGGATCAACTTGCTTGTCTATTTTATCAGAAACTTCTCCAGGAATACTGCATATATTGATACCACAGTTCATTCCTGAGATTAATTTGATGAGAATTTGGTTAGATTCAATATGTTTGGTTCTGTGCTTATTACCACCGAATACTCTGGTTCTGATCATGATTTGTTTTTGTGGAAATGTGAAATCATGGTATGTGTCTATAATAATTTAGGCATAGTGTTATTTTTGAGGTATATCCAGTGATATTTACCTTCACAAGAATGCTGAGTTTCCCATGGTAATCTAAAAGCTTGTTCCATGCTTGATGGAAACTTCTAAAAATAGGCTGTGCATTGCTTGTAAAATCTTGGCTGAGTCTTACATAATTACCAGGGGAAGAAGATTTGATCTGCAGAGCGTTCTGTTGCAGGAACTAGGCTGATCTCAGAAGCAAAATTAAAAAACCTGGACAAATGCAAACCAAAAAAACCAGATTCATATCAATATAGTTACTATGTTCAGACTTAGTCCTTTTCAGGAAAGAATTCTTAACACTTTCTTTCAAGCAGTAGAATGTAGTTAGATAATACTGAGGAACTGCAAACTGCAGAAGTGAAAGAACTTGCTACACCAACGTAGTTAAAATTTTCAGCACCACTAAATGACATTACAAAATCTTGGTTTCCCAGACTTTTAATCTGTGGACTCAACCACATTCTCTTGCTAAATAAAAGAAAAAAGTGGGGTTTTTTTAACTTCTATATCATTCAAATAGTTAGACATTGAAAACTGAAAATATATCTTTTTATTAATACAAATTACTTTTTCTTACAAATCCTGAAATGTGGTTGCTATCCAGTTCTTATTTGACTAGTCGAGCTCTACTGTTGGTAGGACATCCTTTGATGATGTTGGAACAGTTTTAATTGCTTTTTTACCAGTGTAAGTGTGCTGCACTGTCATGCTGTCATCTTCATAATTTATTATCTTTAATTCTGTGGTCACCAGCTTGTTGTACCTAGTAAATATTTAATGGGTTGTGGCTGCATCCTAAGGCAGTTTTCAGTGCTAACTTGATGCAAGACCATTCATTCCTCTTCAGATGAGCAAAAACCCAGAATTTGATCTTGAATATGCTGGCAGTCCGAATTTCCCAAGTAATCACATGATTTTTAAACAAAATTTTTGGAAGACCTTGTATTTGCTGGTTGTCAGCATCTCAAAGTGGAGATGCTTGTCAGCAAAATCAGTGTAAACTTTGGTATCTCAGTAGTAACAACACTAGCAGTTTGGCCAGTGCAGTTGGATACTCCAAATAAGTACTTTTAGAACAAAGAAACTTCTGAATCTACAGAACACAGTGGTTTGACTCAGGAATTGCCAAATGGGCAGTACACATTCCAGTTTTTCTTAGTTCTGCAGTTCTTTCTATTGCATCTCTGCTCAGTATGAAACTTTTAGATTTGCATGTGTCATATTGCTGTCTCTAGTTGTTCATTAGTGTTGTTTGCTATCAGTTTATCTACTTGGTGCTTCTTTAAAGACTACCTATAATTATTAGTTCAGAAGAACTCCGGAGAGTGTTTGTACCTCCAATTGAACTTATTTATGTAGCTTTCACCGCTCACTGAAGTTAGACCTGAATTTTGCTTTAAAAATTCTTTTTAATTCTATAGCTTCTGTGTGGGTTACTTTGTTTGTATTTATTAATTATGTACTTTTTCAGGTTTGTTGTATGTTATTGAAACCCAGAAAGTTCTTGACCTCAAAATTAACCTCATGGCTTCATACATTATTGTTCCACAAAAAGGATTCTATGACTGTACATCAAATCTACTACTTCTGGATCTTGGTAGTCTTAAGGTGTGTATTTACCTAACAAAGTAACTTAATGTAAATACTAGTTTTGCTTTACAGTTCCTTAATTTGTTTTTGTGGTACCAGTTAAGTAGAAGTTCTTCTGGCAGTTTATGCATTAGGAGTTTATTTTAAATTTAGATGTTTATTTAAATTTATATTATTATAGATTATTTGAACCCAAAAGAATTTTTAGAAAGTGAGCCTTCCCTGGAATTAAAACTACTGTTGTTGCTTTGAACCATGTAAGTGGAAGATGTCTATCTTTTTTTTTTTTTTTTTTACTTCAGAATGTGAAGGAGCAAACTTACATGATAATGAAATGGTCTTTAACATTGCGATTATTGTTATCAATTACCTTTTGGTCACAGTTAACTTTAAAATGAGAAAGGTAAACATATTGGCAGTTTATAAAATAACCTGTATAAAATTTGAGATACTTTATGCAAGGGGAAAAGTCAAAAATGTAGTTTAATAACGTATTAAAAATTATAAATTAGCATCATAAAATCATGAAGAGACTATTTCTACGTATCATTAACAATCTTCTCACTCATTGGTGGACTTGTAAGATCATATATCCTGAAAGAACACATTACTTCATGTGCTTCAGAAGGTGGAATTAATGAAAAACATTGACTAGAAATAACATGGATTTGTAACCAGATCACTTATTTCGGTGCCTAATAATTTTACCAGTTCTTTTTCTGGTAAAATTTTACTGGTACTTTTTCACTCTCAGAATAATACATAGAAGAATGTTTCAAAATCAGTCTCTAGTAATTGTGTCTGAGATCTTTATCTGAAATGGATAAGTTTTATGATGAATGTGACTCTTGGATTGGTTTATCTCCTTTAATAGAAAGTCGAAAGCAAGATAAAGAAATTTGACAATACCAAAAGAGAAGTTAGATCCCTCAGAATATGATTAATAATTCTGTAGTCACTGAGTGACATGTGCTTAAGTGAGATATAGGTCATTTGTTGAATCACAGAATCATAGGCGGCTTTGGGTTGGAAGAGACCTTAA